GAGCTTTGGAATCCAGGATGTGGAATTGGGACGTGGGATGTTGGATTTGGTTTGTGGAATTTGGGATCCGGGATTTGGGATTTGGGATCTGGGATCTGGGATGTGGGATTTGGGATGTGGGATGTTGGATTTGGTTTGTGGGATGTTGGATTTGGGATCTGGATTTGGGATCTGGTTTGTGGGCTGTGGGATGTGGGGTTGGGTGCTGTGGGGTTGGGTGCTGTGGGGTTGGGTTCCCTGTTCCCAGGGATGGATCCCGGCGGGAATATTGGAATATTTCAATCCCGGTTTTCTCCCTGGGGAAGCTCTCAGGGATCCTTGGGGACCCCGGTGCGGATCCCGGGGTCGCTCCAGGCTCCGTGTCCCGGAATTCTGAGAATCCTGAGAATTCCAGGATCCTGGAATGGTTTGGGACGGGATCCACGGAGCTTCAATCCCATCCCGTTCCATCCCCACAACCCCAGACGGCTCCGGGATTTTCCTTGGGCACTCCCAGGGATTCTCTGGGAATTCCAGCCCAGCCGGGAATTCCTTCCCAATCCCATTTCCCCCTTTTTCCCAGGGAATTCCCTCCATTCCCAGCTCTCCCAGCCTGGCGTTGGATCCATCCCCATCCCGGATCCTCTCCGGGAAGGAATTCTGGGAATTCCCTGGGAATTCAGGACTCCAGGAAGGGTCTCCCTTCCCTTTTCCATCCCCAAATCCCATAAAAATTCCATTAAAAGCCTTTGGCATAGATCCTGAATGTCCTGGATCCCAGAATCCCGGAATGGTTTGGGATGGGATCCATGGACCTTCAATCCCACCCCTGACTCCTCTCCGGGAAGGAATTTTGGGAATTTCTTGGGAATTTGGGACTCCCCTTTTCCATCCCCAAAAATCCCATAAAAATCCCTGGGGATGGATCCTGAGCCTCCTGGATCCCAGAATCCCGGAATGGTTTGGGATGGGATCCACGGACCTTCAATCCCATCCCACATTCAACCCCTGAGTCCTCTCTGGGAAGGAATTTTGGGAATTCAGGATTCCACTTCCCCAAAAATCCCATTTAAAAAAATCCCTGGGGATGGATCCTGAGCCTCCTGGATCCCGGAATGGTTTGGGATGGGATCCATGAACCTTCAATCCCATCCCACATTCCAACTCCTGACTCCTCTCCGGGAAGGAATTTTGGGAATTTGGGACTCCACTTCCCCAAAAATCCCATAAAACCAAAAATCCCTCGGGATGGATCCTGGGCCTCCTGGATCCCAGAATCCCGGAATGGTTTGGGTTGGGATCCATGGACCTTCAATCCCACCCCTGAGTCCTCTCCGGGAAGGAATTTTGGGAATTCCCTGGGAATTTGGGACTCCCCTTTTCCATCCCCAAAAATTCCATAAAAATCCCTGGGGATGGATCCTGAGCGTCCTGGATCCCAGAATCCCGGAATGGTTTGGGATGGGATCCGTGGACCTTCAATCCCATCCCACATTCCAACCCCTGACTCCTCTCCAGGAAGGAATTTTGGGAATTCAGGACTTCACTTCCCCAAAAATCCCATTAAAAAAAATCCCTTGGGATGGATCTTAAGTGCCCTGGATCCCAGAACCCCGGAATGGTTTGGGTTGGGATCCATGGACCTTCAACCCCATCCCACATTCCAACCCCTGACTCCTCTCCGGGAAGGAATTTTGGGAATTCAGGACTCCACTTCCCCAAAAATTCCATAAAAATCCCTCGGGATGGATCCTGAGCCTCCTGGATCCCAGAATCCCGGAATGGTTTGGGTTGGGATCCATGGACCTTCAATCCCACCCCTGAGTCCTCTCCGGGAAGGAATTTTGGGAATTCCCTCGGAATTTGGGACTCCACTTCCCTTTTCCATCCCCAAAAATTCCACAAAAATCCCCGGGGATGGATCCTGAGCCTCCTGGATCCCAGAATCCCGGGATGGTTTGGGATGGGATCCATGGACCTTCAACCCCATCCCACATTCCAAACCCTGCCTCCTCTCCGGGAAGGAATTTTGGGAATTCCCTGGGAATTTGGGACTCCCCTTTTCCATCCCCAAAAATCCCATAAAAACAAAAATCCCTCGGGATGGATCCTGGGCTTCCTGGATCCCGGAATGGTTTGGGATGGGATCCATGGACCCTCAACCCCATCCCACATTCCAAATCCCGACTCCTCTCCGGGAAGGAATTTTGGGAATTCGGGACTCCACTTCCCCAAAAATTCCATTAAAATCCCTCGGGATGGATCCTGAGCCTCCTGGATCCCAGAATTCCGGAATGGTTTGGGATGGGATCCATGGACCTTCAATCCCATCCCACATTCCAACCCCAAAATCCTCTCCGGGAAGGAATTTTAGGAATTCCCTGGGAATCTGGGACTCCCCTTTTCCATCCCCAAAAATTCCATAAAAAGCCTTTGGCATGGATCCTGATCCAAAAGGAATTTTGGGAATTCCCTGGGAATTTGGGACTCCCCTTTTCCATTCCCCAAAAATCCCATTTAAAAAAAATCCCTGGGGATGGATCCTGCGCCTCCTGCATCCCAGAATGGTTTGGGATGGGATCCATGGACCTTCAACCCCATCCCACATTCCAACCCCAAAATCCTCTCCGGGAAGGAATTTTGGGAATTCAGGACTCCACTTCCCCAAAAATCCCATTTAAAAAAATCCCTCGGGATGGATCCTGAGCCTCCTGGATCCCAGAATCCCGGAATGGTTTGGGAAGGGATCCATGGAGCTTCAATCCCACCCCTGAGTCCTCTCCGGGAAGGAATTTTGGGAATTCCCTGGGAATTTGGGACTCCCCTTTTCCATCCCCAAAATTCCATAAAAATCCCTGGGGATGGACCCTGCGCCTCCTGGATCCCAGAATCCCGGAATGGTTTGGGATGGGATCCATGGATCTTCAACCCCATCCCACATTCCAACCCCAAAATCCTCTCTGGGAAAGAACTTTAGGAATTCCCTGGGAATTTGGGACTCCCCTTTTCCATTTCCCAAAAATCCCATAAAAACAAAAATCCCTCGGGATGGATCCTGGGCTTCCTGGATCCCGGAATGGTTTGGGATGGGATCCACAGACCCTCAACCCCATCCCACATTCCAAGCCCTGAATCCTCTCCGGGAAGGAATTTTGGGAATTCGGGACTCCACTTCCCCAAAAATCCCATTAAAATCCCTCGGGATGGATCCTGAGAGTCCTGGATCCCGGAATGGTTTGGGTTGGGATCCATGGACCTTCAATCCCACCCCTGACTCCTCTCCGGGAAGGAATTTTGGGAATTCCCTGGGAATTTGGGACTCCCCTTTTCCATCCCCAAAAATTCCATTAAAAGCCTTTGGCATGGATCCTGATCCAAAAGGAATTTTGGGAATTCCCTGGGAATTCGGGACTCCCCTTTTCCATCCCCAAAAATTCCCATTTAAAAAAAATCCCTGGGGATGGATCCTGAGCCTCCTGGATCCCAGAATCCCGGAATGGTTTGGGATGGGATCCATGGACCCTCATCCCCATCCCACATTCCAACCCCTGAGTCCTCTCCGGGAAAGAATTTTGGGAATTCGGGACTCCCAAAAATCCCATAAAAACAAAAATCCCTCGGGATGGATCCTGAGCCTCCTGGATCCCAGAATCCCGGAATAGTTTGGGTTGGGATCCATGGACCTTCAATCCCACCCCTGAGTCCTCTCCGGGAAGGAATTTTGGGAATTCCCTGGGAATTTGGGACTCCCCTTTTCCATCCCCAAAAATTCCATAAAAAGCCTTTGGCATGGATCCTGATCCAAAAGGAATTTTGGGAATTCCCTGGGAATTTGGGACTCCCCTTTTCCATCCCCAAAAATCCCATAAAAATCCCTGGGGATGGATCCTGCGCCTCCTGCATCCCAGAATCCTGGAATGGTTTGGGATGGGATCCATGGACCTTTGACCCCATCCCCTTCCCACCCCTGACTCCTCTCCGGGAAGGAATTTTGGGAATTCAGGATTCCACTTCCCCAAAAATCCCATTTAAAAAAATCCCTCGGGATGGATCCTGAGCGTCCTGGATCCCAGAATCCCGGAATGGTTTGGGATGGGATCCATGGACCTTCAATCCCACCCCTGAGTCCTCTCCGGGAAGGAATTTTGGGAATTCCCTGGGAATTTGGGACTCCACTTCCCTTTCCCATTCCCCAAAAATCCCATAAAAACAAAAATCCCTGGGGATGGATCCTGGGCCTCCTGGATCCCAGAATCCCAGAATGGTTTGGGTTGGGATCCACGGACCTTCAATCCCACCCCTGAGTCCTCTCCGGGAAGGAATTTTAGGAATTCCCTGGGAATCTGGGACTCCCCTTTTCCATCCCCAAAAATTCCATAAAAAGCCTTTGGCATGGATCCTGATCCAAAAGGAATTTTGGGAATTCCCTGGGAATTCGGGACTCCCCTTTTCCATCCCCAAAAATTCCATAAAAATCCCTCGGGATGGATCCTGAGCCTCCTGGATCCCAGAATCCCGGAATGGTTTGGGATGGGACCCACGGACCCTCAACCCCATCCCCTTCCCACCCCTGACTCCTCTCCGGGAAAGAATTTTGGGAATTCAGGATGGAAAAGGGGAGTCCCAAATTCCCAGGGAATTCCCAAAATTCCTTCCCGGAGAGGACTCAGGGGTGGGATTGAAGGTCCATGGATCCCAACCCAAACCATTCCAGGATTCTGGGATCCAGGACGCTCAGGATCCATCCTGAGGGATTTTTATGGAATTTTGGGAATTCAGGACTCCACTTCCCCAAAAATTCCATAAAAATCCCTGGGGATGGATCCTGCGCCTCCTGGATCCCAGAATCCCGGAATGGTTTGGGATGGGACCCACGGACCCTCAACCCCATCCCATTCCCACCCCTCACCATCCCGGGCTGCTCCAACCTTTCCCTGCCATTCCTGACGTTTCTTTCCTTTCCCCTCCCTTGTCCCCTCTCTCGGCATTCCCGATGTTTTTTTTCCGGCCGGGAATTCCAGGAGCGGCTGATGCTCTCCATCCTGCCCAAGCACGTGGCCGACGAGATGCTCAAGGACATGAAGAAGGACCCGAGCCAGAAGGAGCTGCAGCAGTTCAACACCATGTACATGTACCGGCACGAGAACGTCAGGTCAGGCCCCCGAAATCACGGGAAAACGCCCCAAAATCCTGGGGAAAAAATAAAATAAATGAATTCATGGGAAAGTGCCGCAAAATCCTGGGGAAAAAAAATAAATGAATTCACTGGAAACTGCCCGAAAATCCTGGGAAAAAAAAAATAAATGAATTCATGGGAAACTGCAACTGCCCCAAAATCCTGGGGAAAAAAAAAAAATGAATTCCTGGGAAAGTGCCCCAAAATCCTGGGGAAAAAACTGACAAATTCCTGGGAAAATGCGCCAAAATCCTGGGGAAAAAAACAAACAAAATCTCAGGAAACTGCCCCAAAATCCTGGGGAAAAAAAAATAAATGAATTCATGGGAAACTGCCCCAAAATCCTGGGGAAAATAAAAATAAATGAATTCCCGGGAAACTGCCCCAAAATCCTGGGGGAAAAAACCCCAAAAATTCCTGGGAAACTGCCCCAAAATCCTGGGGAAAAAAAAATAAACTCAAATTCCTGGGAAACTGCCCCAAAATCCTGGGGAAAAACAAATAAATGAATTCACGGGAAACTGCCCCAAAATCCTGGGAAAAAAACCCCAAATTCCTGGGAAACTGCCCCAAAATCCTGGGGAAAAAAACCCCACAAATTCCTGGAGAAACGGCCCCAAAATCCAGGAAAAAAACCCCAAAATCCCTGGAAATTGCCCCAAAATCCTGGGGGAAAAAACCCCAAATTCCTGGGAAACTGCCCCAAAATCCTGGGGACAAAAAAAACCCCAAATTTCAGGGACATTGCCCCAAAATCCTGGGAAAAAAAAAAACCCAAATTCCTGGGAAACTGCCCCAAAATCCTGGGGAAAAAAAACCCAAATTCCTGGGAAAATGCCCCAAAATTCTGGGGAAAAAATCCCAAATTCCTGGGAAACTGCCCCAAAATCCTGGGGAAAAAAAACCCCAAATTCCTGGGAAACTGCCCCAAAATCCTGGGAAAAAAAAACCCCAAATTCCTGGGAAACTGCCCTAAAATCCTGGGGAAAAAACCCCAAATTCCTGGGAAACGGCCCCAAAATCCTGGGGAAAGAAAAAACCAAATTCCCGGGAAACTGCCCCAAAATCCTGTGAAAAAAAAAACCCCAAATTCCTGGGAAACTGCCCCAAAATCCTGGGGAAAAAAAACCAACAAATTCCTGGGAAACTGCCCCAAAATCCTGGGAATAAAATAACCCCAAATTCCCGGGAAACTGCCCCAAAATCCTGGGGAAAAAAAACCCAAATTCCTGGGAAATTGCCCCAAAATCCTGGGGAAAAAAAACCCCAAATTCCCGGGAAACTGCCCCAAAATCCTGGGGAAAAAAACCCCCAAATTCCTGGGAAATTGCCCCAAAATCCTGGGGAAAAAAACCCCAAATTCCTGGGAAACTGCCCCAAAATCCTGGGAAAAAAAAATCACAAATTCCTGGGAAAATGCCCCAAAATCCTGGGATAAAAAACCCAAATTCCCAGGAAACTGCCCCAAAATCCTGGAAAAACAAAACCCAAATTCCTGGGAAACTGCCCCAAAATCCTGGGGAAAAAAACCAAAAAAATTCCCGGGAAACTGCCCCAAAATCCTGGGGAAAAAAACCCAAAAATTCCCGGAAAACTGCCCCAAAATCCTGGGGAAAAAAAAAACCCAAATTCCCGGGAAACTGCCCCAAAATCCTGGGGAAAAAAATCCCCCAAATTCCTGAGAAACTGCCCAAAAATCCTGGAAAAAAAAACCCCAAATTCCTGGGAAACTGCACCAAAATCCTGGGGAAAAAACCCCAAAAATTCCTGGGAAACTGCCCCAAAATCCTGGGGAAAAAAAAAAAAAACCCAAATTCCCAGGAAACTGCCCCAAAATCCTGGGGGGAAAAAAAAACCAAATTCCTGGGAAACTGCCCCGAAATCCTGGGAAAAAAAAACCCAAATTCCTGGGAAACTGCCCCAAAATCCTGGGGAAAAAATCCCCAAATTCCTGGGAAACTGCCCCAAAATCCTGGGGGGAAAAAAAATCCCAAATTCCCGGGAAACTGCCCCAAAATCCGGGGGAAAACCGACAAATTCCTGGGAAAATGCCCCAAAATCCTGGGAAAAAAACAAACAAAATCTTGGGAAACTGTCCCATAATCCTGGGAAAAAAAAAAACAAATTCCAGGGAAAATGCCCCAAAATCCTGGGAAAAAAAAAAAAAAAATTCAAGGAAAACTGCCCCAAAATCCAGGGGAAAAAAACCCCAAATTCCCGGGAAACTGCCCCAAAATCCTGGGGAAAAAAAACCCCAAATTCCTGGGAAACTTCCCCAAAATCCTGGGGAAAAAATAAAACCCAAATTCCTGGGAAACTGCCCCAAAATCCTGGGGAAAAAAACCCCAAATTCCTGGGAAACTGCCCCAAAATCCTGGGAAAGAAAAAACCCCAAATTCCCGGGAAACTGCCCCAAAATCCTGGGGGAAAAAATCCAAATTCCTGGGAAACTGCCCCAAAATCCTGGGGAAAAAACCCCCAAATTTCTGGGAAAATCCTGGGAAAAAAAACCCCAAATTCAGGGAAACTGCCCCAAAATCCTGGGAAAAAAAACCCAAATTCCTGGGAAACTGCCCCAAAATCCTGGGAAAAACCCCCAAATTTCTGGGAAAATCCTGGGAAAAAAAACCCCAAATTCCTGGGAAACTGCCCCAAAATCCTGGAAAAAAAACCCCAAATTCCCAGGAAACTGCCCCAAAATCCTGGGGACAAAAAACCCAAATTCCCGGGAAACTGCTCCAAAATCCTGGGGACAAAAAAACCCCAAATTCCTGGGGAACTGCCCAAAATCCTGGGGAAAAAAATCCCAAATTCCTGGGAAACTGCCCCAAAATCCTGGGGAAAAAAAAAAACCCAAATTCCTGGGAATCTGCCCCAAAATCCTGGGGGAAAAAAAACCCCAAATTCCTGGGAAACTGCCCAAAAATTCCCGGGAAAAATAAACCCAAATTCCAGGGAAATTGCCCCAAAATCATGGGGGAAAAAAACCCCAAATTCCCGGGAAACTGCCCCAAAATCCTGGGAAAAAAACCCCAAATTCCCAGGAAACTGCCCCAAAATCCTGGGGGAAAAAAAACCCCCAAATTCCCAGGAAACTGCCCCAAAATCCTGGGAAAAAAACCCAAAATTCCTGGGAAACTGCCCCAAAATCCTGGGGAAAAAAAAACCAAAATCCTGGGAAACTGCCCCAAAATCCTGGGGAAAAAAAAAACCAAATTCCTGGGAAATTGCCCCAAAATTATGGGGAAAAAAACCCCCAAATTTCTGGGAAACTGCCCCAAAATCCTGGGAAAGAAAAAACCAAATTCCCGGGAAACTGCCCCAAAATCCTGGGGAAAAAAACCCCAAATTCCTGGGAAACTGCCCCAAAATCCTGGGGAAAAAACCAAAAAAATTCCTGGGAAACTGCCCCAAAATCCTGGGGAAAAAACCCCAAATTCCTGGGAAACTGCCCCAAAATCCTGGAAAAAAACCCCCAAATTCCTGGGAAACTGCCCCAAAATCCTGGGGGGAAAAAAAAAAACCAAATTCCTGGGAAATTGCCCCAAAATCCTGGTGGAAAAAAACCCAAAATTCCAGGGAAACTGCCCCAAAATCCTGGGGAAAAAAAACCCCAAATTCCTGGGAAACTGCCCCAAAATCCTGGGGAAAAAAATCCCAAATTCCCAGGAAACTGCCCCAAAATCCTGGGGAAAAAAAAAAAACCAAATTCCTGGGAAACTGCCCCAAAATCCTGGGGAAAAGAAAAACCAAATTCCCGGAAACTGCCCCAAAATCCTGGGTGGAAAAAACCCCAAATTCCTGGGAAACTGCCCCAAAATCCTGGGGAAAAAAACCCCAAATTCCCGGGAAACTGCCCCAAAATCCTGGGGAAAAAACCCCAAATTCCTGGGAAACTGCCCCAAAATCCTGGGGAAAGAAAAAACCAAATTTCGGGGAAATTGCCCCAAAATCCTGGGGAAAAAAAACCCCCACAAATTCCTGGGAAAATGCCCCAAAATCCTGGGACAAACAACCCCAAATTCCAGGAAACTGCCCCAAAATCCTCGGAAAAAAAAAAAAAAAACTCTCGGGAAACTGCCCCAAAATCCTGGGGGAAAATAAAAAATCACAAATTCCAACGAAACTGCCCCAAAATCCTGGGGAAAAAAAAAACCAAATTCCCGGGAAACTGCCCCAAAATCCTGGGAAAGAAAAAACCCCAAATTCCTGGGAAACTGCCCCAAAATCCTGGGGGAAAAAAAACCCCAAATTCCTGGGAAACTGCCCCCAAAATCCTGGGAAATAAAAAAACCCAAATTCCTGGGAAACTGCCCCAAAATCCTGGGGAAAATAAAAAAGCCCAAATTCCTGGGAAACTGCCCCAAAATCCAGGGGAAAAAAACCCCAAAATCCCGGGAATTTGCCCCAAAATCCTGGGGAAAAAAAAAATCAAATTCCCAGGAAACTGCCCCAAAATCCTGGGGAAAAAAAACCCAAATTCCAGGGAAACTGCCCCAAAATCCTGGGAAAAAAAAACCCAAATTCTCAGGAAACTGCCCCAAAATCCTGGGGAAAAAAAACCCCCAAATTCCTGGGAAACTGCCCCAAAATCCTGGGGAAAAAACAACCAAAAATTCCCGGGAAACTGCCCCAAAATCCTGGGAAAAAACCCCAAAAATTCCCAGGAAACTGCCCCAAAATCCTTAGGAAAAAAACCCCAAATTCCCGGGAAATTGCCCCAAAATCCTGGGGAAAGAAAAAACCCCAAATTCCTGGGAAACTGCCCCAAAATCCAGGGGGAAAAAAAAAACCCAAATTCCCGGGAAACTGCCCCAAAATCCTGGGGAAAAAAAACCCAAATTC